ACACACACACATACACACACACACAGAGAGAGAGAGAGAGAGAGAGAGAGAGAGAGAGAGAGAGAGAGAGAGAGAGAGAGAGAGAGAGAGAGAACATCGGAATAACATCTCTGCGCTGAGCCTGATTCCGGAGATTCACCATTCGCCAAAATCACACCTCAAAATGCGACAAGAATCACAGCCAAGTTTCTGCTGGCAGACATTTATTATCACCCGGTGATACCTTTCGCCGCCAAGTACAAATTCTATCTTTCCATGGTAGAATCAAGGTCCTACGAAATGCGGTCACACGATACATGTATCTCGTACCTTGTCTCCTTGTAGGGACATTGGGCTGTGATGAGGAAATCATGCTGGAGAAAATGGATAATATTTATTTTTAAATCTTACACGTGCGTATTTTAGCCTTCATTTGTAAAAAAATATTTTCGGCTTTGATACTTTAATGGGTACTTGTATTGTTGGACGTGGGAACAAGAAATAAGGAAGTGGGCTAAAATGAGTTGTGGGAAGAGATGGGCTGAGATCCTCACAGATCGAACTAACAATTTCTTTTAAATACCCTACGATTGTCCATTCTTGTGCTTCAGAGAAAACCTTTTTTTTTGTTGCAGGTAGTTCGGATGAAACCTTGCACCAGCCCATACTTTCACCTTCTGCACACACTGTATAAGAGTCAGTTTTGACACACCGAAGACTGCTGATGCTTCCTGGACCGTCTTACCATTCTGGACAGCCTCCACCGACTTTTTCATCATTGCATAAGAAATGTAGGGTAATTACTGATTCGGGTTTTGTATGTAGATTTGAGGCATTTCTGAACAAAAATGAAAACGCCCCCCCCCCTCAGGAAAATAAGATTAGTAGTCTATAACTACATAGCAGGATAATTATGGGCTGCTTGCCAACATGAGAACCAAACTGTATTTTTATTTGCACGTGATAATTTGACACTGGACAAGTTGATCTCTTTGCTGCCGGAAAACTGGGACTCCTGTGGGGTAAAGTGGAATACTGTGCCCCAATTCTCCAGACCATTGGCAGACACCAAGTTTGATTCTGCATTTTCTTTATGAGATAGCACTCAGCCTATCCCACGTTTTATACAGCTGATATATGACTATATAAAACATATTCACCTTCACCTGAAATTCAACACATTCGCTGCAGAGAGACAGAAATTGGTCTTGGAAAAGACTTTGTTAACCTGGGTGGTCTTTGGAACTTGAAAACGGAAAAAGAAAGTTGAAGGGATGTAACAGAAATCACTATAGTGATAACTAGTACTTTCATTACGATCCTGTTAATTTTTGTACCGAAAAATGTAACATGTTTCGAGCCTTATCCCAGTTTACCTGCGTTTCAGTTCTCCCCACTCTCCTCTACATTATTTTGATCGCCAGTATAATATATTACTGCATGCAGTGTTCCAAACTGATAGTCTCGTCTTTGTTTGGGAGCGCTCTACAACGTATTCTAGCTGTCTTTTACAGCTATAGCATGCATTCATAGATAGCTGACTTACAACTCTTAATGGAATTATGAACATTTCTATACTTGACGGGGAATAGGAGATGTGTACACAAGAAAAAGTACTTTCCTTGAGTGAATAGTGGGGTAGTTTGTTGGTCAATTGGAAAAGTAAAAATGTGAAACGGTATAGATTTAACTGATGGGGGACCTGACCTAATGGGAAATCAGTGTAAAGAGCCTTTTCCAAAGACACAATGTCGGGCTGAGCTGGGGCTTGAACCCTAGAACGCAGAGTCTCACGATAACGGGTCTTTTAACATAACCATTAAGCAACCAAGGCCACATGGCAAATTGGTAGGTGGGATTATTTTCACAAATTATATGAATAGTGGGATCATCTGCACAAAATATGCCGTGAATTGTCAACATGTGAATAAGTACGGATTTGTTAACACTAGAATGGATAATAAACTGGCTTTTCATTATTACATGAGGAAGTTGCTGGCGGGATAAATTGTAAATTGAAATCAGTTGAGATGTGTGAAAAGAATTAAGGAGCTGCAATCAAATTAAAGAAACGGCTCTCATCCTGACCACCAGGAACGTGACTATACATAAGCCCTGCAATTAAGTCTGTACTATTTAATTTCTCGCTGTCTACAATTAGAGAGAAACCTTGCTTGCCACATACGGCCTTAGACATAAAACTTTTTCTCCCCATTCTGTTAACAATTAGACACCATTTAATTACTATAGCTACGTGTATGGGATTTGTTGTTTATTGTTCCACGGTTTTCCAGCAAAACATCAGTGCCAGCACTTTTGTCAAGATTAATTCAAGGTAAGCCTGTCGCGTAGACAGTTGTTTAACGAGTTTTCTTAAGAAATGAGTAAATATTCCTATAAATCCCTCCTTCCCCTGCTCCAGTGACTCATGAGGTAGGCAACCCTTTATCCCATCCCACAGTGGACCTTTCCTATGTTTGTCCTATCAGAATGCCCCAACAATATAGGCCCTGTCTTTGATATTGTGACATTGATCGGATTCAGCTTAAGCTAAGTTACCAGTTTGACCGTATAAGGTTACGTGACACTTTTAGACAAACAAGATGTTATTTACTCAGGCAAATAGATACAACGATATCCACGTTCAGACAAGGGGATACGTGTAAATAGATGAATAGACAGAGCATGCTTTTCGTTTTCGCTTATAACTGGATTTTGATATCATTGAAAAATTGGTCAATGTTACTACTTTTTATCTTTGTATAACTATTGTTCTAAATGTTTTTTAAACCTGGAAGCCGAATGTATACAATATGTGAGTGATTGTTCTATTCCTTCTCAAATCACACACATCCAATAATGATGAAATCACTTTATTACAGTACTTACCATGATTGCTTCCAACTTAAAGTATTTCTTGTCTCTCTCCTACAATTATAAAGTATTGCTTGTCTCTCTTCTACAATTATCTGTATACTTAAACAACGAGCGTATCCGGAGCTCCCTAACGAATATTTCTGTCAGCGAATGTCGTAGTACATGCAGTGATATTGCATCGAGAGACTCATCAATTATTGTGTCGTTAGCTTCTCTTACTGTTCAAAGTATTTTTTTGTCCGTATGTTATTTTATTGCACCAGAATTCCCATTACTCATTCAATAGAAAACGGTTATTCTGTTCTATTTATGTACAATACCGCCTTCCCTTTGGTAAATAGTTCTTAAGTATCCTAAATTACCGATGACCATCTTCTGAATTTTGTCATACTCGTGGTGACTATGGCTGCTTTGTGATCTGAACGATATTTGAATAAGTAGAAAATAAGGGAGGAGTTGTGTTTTTATAACAAAAGATATAATCATCTAAAGAAGAATAATGTGTTAGCTGACATCGGGTAAAACCCCTTTCTATACCATTATGCGTGTCCTCGAAACAAGAGCTTTTGTTGACGAGCACAACTTGTCGCCCACTCCCATTTTGAGGCCGTACCAAAAATAAAACAAAAACAAAACTTAAAAGGGTGCTCTGGTCTGGTTTGCTTCTTCTTTCCTATCCAACATCTATCATCCCTTTCTCTCCTCCATCTTTTTTGTGTGTTTGTTACTCTTTTGTAACACCTCTAATCTTCGGCACGTATATGGCCTATTGTGTTGCAAATGCCGTAAAACTCTTTCAAAATCTAAAAACTAAAAACTAAAAACTAAAAACAAGCAAAAATAAAACAAAAACAGATCTGGTTTCTATTCTGTCTGCCACAGTCACAGAAACATGAGATCCGTTTCATACGTAAGCTTCCCTTATCTATAACATGAGTGTCGCTCTAGCTATAGCAATGAAACTATAAGTTACTCGTCCAGTTTTGCTCCATCCAGATTATTGAACGGTCATTGATAGACAATATAGAGAATCAAAACAGTATGATATGACACTCGAGTTATCACAGCATTTTCTGTTCGCTTGGGTGTATCAGAGTAAGAAACACACAAAGATCTTCTGACCGCCCTAAGAGATTAAATATGCTCAATTTGTTCCCCCAGTGAGGAAAATTAATGAAAGACAAGTCATGGATGATGAGACGAGATATGGACGATCAGTCCGGCATGTAGTGAATCTTAAAGTTGTGAAATACTGGGTGGCGACACGTGAAAACGTATGAAGATAAAGTTAATGAAGCTTCATTGTCAACTTCTAGTGTTTCCAGGACTGTGACTGACAGACTATATGAAAAGATGTTTTCCGAATGGATGACCCATTTTCTCACTCAGAATGAAAGGGATGCGTAAGTCAAATTCTGTATGGATTTACTCCATAGATTCCAGAGACTGTGAAACACAATTTTCTACAGAAACTGGTTTTCTGTTCAACATAACATCCGTTGATCTCAACGCATCTCTTCATCAAAATGCAACCAGCGGTCAAGTGCTGTGACCTAGTCCGCTTCGGCCAGAGTCCTTTGCGCAGCATTAATTAGTTTCGAGTCGAGCACACTTCCGTGTCTTCAAATCGCTGCCCCTTTAGTCCTTCTTTGGTTTTGGGGATTCAACTATCTCTTGTGTTCTCTCTCTCTCTCTCTCTCTCTCTCTCTCTCTCTCACACACACACACACACACACACACACACACACA